GAGTGAGTGTGTCTGTGTGAGTGTGAGTGAGTGTGTCTGTGTGAGTGTGAGTGTGAGTGTGTGAGTGTGAGTGTGTGAGTGAGTGTGTGTGTGAACTGCCCTGGCTACAGCATTGTATGGACAGGTGGGACTGAAGTGGACAGTGTGCTGTAAACAGGTCACAGATTTGCTCTGAGCTGGTACATGACGGATGCTGAGTTTTGTGGATGTGGGTCATGTGCCCTCAAAGGTTTGTGCCAATTTGGAGGGTCTGAAGGAGCAGGTGGTGAGCTGGTGTTGCCAGGCATCCTCTCAGACTTCCATGTTGGGAATTGTCACTGTCCACTTTCTATCGGAGGGTGGGTGAATGGGAAAAAGACTATCAATGAAGTGAGAATGCCTGCTAATCCATGCCAATGGGTCTCTCACCATTCGTTAGTGAGAATCAAGCATCACTGGCCAATACTCAGCTGGAAAGTTTGATTTTTTTTATATGCAGCGTGGAAATAGACCCTTCGGTCCAAATAATCCACACCACATTAGAGAAATGACCTTTGCCATTCACCTTATCAATGCCTGGCAACATTTTATAAACCTCTGTAAAGTTACCCCTCAACCTCCTACTCTCTCGTGAAAAATGTCCCAGCCTAGTTTTAGAACTGAAAACCCCCATTTCTCGTAACATTGTGAACCCTCTCCAATTTAATAATGTCCTTCATATAATAGGGCAACCAGAACTGCACACAGTTACCTGGGAGAGGTCTCACCAACGTCCTGTATAACCTCAACAGGACGTCCCAACTCTAAACTCAAAGGTCTGAGCAATGAAGGCAAGTATGCTAAACACCTTCATAAACACCCTGTCTATATGTGGTGCAAACTTCAGAGAATTATGTACCTGAACCTGTAGGTCTCTCTGTTCTACAGCACTACCCAGGGCCGTATCATTGATATAAGCCCACTAGTATAAGCCCTGCCCTTGTTTGTTTTACCAAAATGCAATACCTCGCATTTATCCAAATTAAACTTTGCTCTTAATGTCAAGGGGCCTGCTGGCTAGAAATCTTATGCAATTATCTCAACAATGCCCAAGTCATTCAGAGCCTGGGAATTTTCTGCCCCCGGTGTTTACGAACAGGCTAACAGGGGCAAAAACATGAGGAGTGACAGGGAGAATTTAAATGGTGCAGTTTGCAGAGCTACCACAGCATGGCAACAGAGTATCGGAACCAGAGCGCCTTTAAACAGTTAGCAGTTTTTAAACACAGATGTCTAGCCAGCTTAGTTTCTTTATTTTCTTTTCCCTGTGGGTTGAACTTGCCTTTGCACAGTGGGATTAAACAATCAATACTGAAACAGCAGCCTGTTTTACATCTCTATTCCTACTTTCAGTTCCATGTGCAGGTAAATGTATGCATCTGTCTGCTGATCACACACACCTCCCACACACACACACACACACACACTCACTCTCACACACTCTCACACACAAACATACAGAGGGTGTAGGAACTGCAGGAGGTTACAGAGATACAAAGGGGTGCTGTTTGTAGCCTGTCCTGTACTCAGGCTCCTGAGGGTTACCCCATGGTTTGAGTCAAACCCTGGTTCTCCTGTTGCTCTGTAGGATTCCTGTTGCAGTCTGTGCTTTGCCAGGTTAGACTCAGAGCGGCACTGTTCACTAACACACTGAACACAGGGGTCCCTGTAGTGCAGCATTAACAGCAGCAGGCTGAGGATCACTCAGCCCAGCCCAGCTCACTCTCCATCTCCCTTTAACCACAGATCACACACATCAGTCAGTATCTCTCTCCGACTCTCACCAGCTTATCCCCCTGCCGGTAAACAGCACACACACACACACACACACACACATACACAGGCTCTGTGTAACAGCAAGAGATACATCTACAAACCAAAAGCCAAGACACAAAACGAAGCAGGCTGCTATCGGAGTCCCTCATCCTTCTTTCTGTGAGGATAATTGTCACCTTCTCCTCGGAGATGAAGTGAAGAGTTTACAGAGGTGACAGATTGGAAAAGTTTTAAGAGGGTTTGTTCCGGAAACCACCTATCCCTTCCTCCCAGGGACTGAGGAGGGGAACAAGTCTGCCCAGGTTAATGAGACGAGAGGATTCTGAGGAAGTGAAGAGAGAGCGGCGTTGCTGATAATCTTCAGCCTTGAAGACCAGCACAAGATGCTGCTGCGGCTGATGTTGGGAGGATTTAAAATCAAGGAGTGTCACTGAAACCTTTGTGTTTAGAGCAAGACAGGAGGTAAGAAGGAGAGAAGGAGCCTTAGCAGAACAATGAGTGAGTGCTTTGTTTATTCTCTCTCTCTTTCCTTCCCTCTCTCCTTTATCTCTTCCTTCTACTTTTTCTCCATCTCCTCTCACCCTCCCTTTCACTTCTCTTCTCACCTTCAACCTTCTGTTCATTTGTCCCATTCTTCCTCTATCTCTCTTTCTGTCTCTGGCTCATCTCTCTTTCCATCCCCATCTCCCTCCCTCCTGTATTCCCTCTTCCCCACTCAATCCTTCTCCCTGTCTTTCTCCCTCTCCTATCTCTCCCATTTTCTTCCTCTCTCTCTGGTACAATGTTTCTGGGATTTTTGAATCAGGGTAAAGTTCAACACTTCTGGAAACTTCTAAACCTGAGCATATTCCTCCCTCATCAACCCTCCTGCCTGTGGTACCTCAACAGGTTCATTAGTTCTGGATACTCACTCACTCACTCACTCACTCACACTCACTCACTCACTCACTCACTCACTCACACACTCACACACTCACACACTCACGCACTCACACACTCACGCACTCACTCACTCACGCACTCACTCACACAATCACACACTCACTCACTCTCTCTCTCTCTCACTCACTCACTCATGCACTCACTCACTCACTTAGACCCTCATTTGGTTGGTGAAAACTGTAATGGTGTTGATGGAGTTATTGAAAAGAATACTCTGAGTGTCTTACAGGATGTGATCATGTTAGAATGGAACTTAAAACAGTTCAAATCCATTTTATACTTGACTTTTAGCTTTGTAATTTGTAATGTGGCCGGCTGAGATTTACTGTCAGGGGTCAGTGGCACAGCAGATGGATATCTGGTGAATTGATTCAGTGTCAAATGGAGGTCCTGGTTTAGATACAGATGAGGGGCTCACAGATTAAGATTCAAAAGCCCCCCAGCCCCTCACCCTCGTTACCTTGGGGTCTTATCTACCTGTCCCAGTCAGTCTCATGGTTTGTGGGGGTGGGGGGAGGTGGTTGGGGTGTCTCTGTGTGTCATGGAGTAGACAGTGTGGTACAGCTGGGATAGAACAGCAGGTGTTTTTTTCCAGTCTGTCGTCTGGTGTGTGAGGAGACAGACAAAGTGCGTATTTAGCAGCACTTGAGCGTAAGTGTGAGCATGAGAATGTGTGTAAGTGTGTGCATGTGTGTACATGTAAATAAGGTCTTAAGAACTAGGAACAGGAGTCGGCCATTCAGCCCCTCGAGTCTGCTCCACCATTTAATACAATCATGGCTGATCTCATCTCAACCTCACCTCCACTTTCCTGCCCGCTCCCCATAAACCTTCAACCCGCAGCTAATTAAAAATCTGTCTATCTCCTCCTTAAGTTTACTCATTGTTCCAGCATCCACTGCACTCTGAGGGAGTGAATTCCACAGATTCATCACCTTTTGATAGAAGTAATTCCCCCTCATCTCTGTTTTAAATCTGCCACCTCTTATCCTAAACCTGTGACCTCTTGTTTTAGATTGTCCCATATGAGGAAACACCTTCTCCAGGTTTACTAAATGCGTATCCACATGAGAGTGATGATGGGATATTGTCTGTAACTAGGGCCCATGCCTGTTCCCACATAAAATACTTTAATAATGTTCCTGGCAGAGAAATCAGGCAGTAAACCTGCTCTTTCACTGCGCTGTCTCCCACTAAAGGAAGGGTGGACAGCGTGGCAGCTCTGAAGGGTTCCTGATCATAAATCTTTCCATGGGGAAAGGAGATTTATAATAAAGGAAGGGGTTACAGTAGTTAATCATCCCACCTTCATTCCTCCAACCAGAACATTAATAATGGCCCAGAATAAAGCTTCCAGTTCTTTGATAAATTAATGTCGCTTCTATTGAAAACAAAAAATGCTGGAAATCACGGAGGGGCAGGCAGCATTCATGGAGAGAGAACAAGCTAATGTTTCCAGTCTAGACTCGAAATGGTAGCTCTCTCTCTTCATGGATGCTGCTTGACCTGTTGTGATTTCCACCATTTTTTGTTTTCAGTACAGATTCAGCATCTGCAGTAATTTGCTCCTACAGTATGGCGTCTATTTGTTTATCCAAACATTGATCACTCTCAGTGTGAGGACAAATTAAAATGATTACCCACTCTAACCTAAACTGGTTGAAATGGTTAAAATAAAGTGATAGTGGTCTGCATTGCTGGTGCCTGTGAGGAGTAGGTACAAGTGTGTGCATCTGGACCCAACGACAATGATGCGATGATCGATCTTGAGGTGCTATGTGTGAATTAACAGCCTGGAGAAGCTCATGATGCTGCGTATCTGGGTTTCGGTGCAGCTCATGTGTTTGGCAGAAGCTCCCGATCAAGTTCGATATTCGCCTGAAAGTGACCTTTCGCTACACCCCATCCCATGGCTCCCTCTGGCGTCGCTGTAACTGCACAGTGGAGGTGCCTGTCCCATTTCCTTACAGAGGAACTGGACATATCCAGCATGAAGCCAATGGGCTGACGGGCATTTTTCCGTGCTTCTGCATTTCTGCACAGAAACAGGAAGGTCAAGTTTTGAAAATCGAAACAGTAGTAAGACATAATGAACCAGTCTAATAATTGTCACTTCTGACACAGTTCTAGCCCTGACAAGATACAACATGGACTTTTGAAATGGAGAGAGTTTCACCAGCCCCTTCAGAGATGACTGTCACATGGATCTCTGGCTCAGGTACTGGAGGCACATGATGTTCCTCTGGCCTTTGACTGTTGTGGTTTGGGGTCAGAAATTGAAGACTGATTTAGTTCCTGCTGGGACTGCGTCTGTTTAATGCAGCACTATGTAGCGAGCTCCCTGCTCCTATTGGCCTCCAGTTCCACCACTGGATCCCAGTCCCATCTCCCTGTCACCTCCACCCCACCCCCACAGATCTGGGGCTGTGATTCCCCTCATTCACAATCGGAGACACAGAGAGGGGAGGGGTGTTAGTAAGAAGGTGGAAGGCACTGTTTTGGGAGGCCAGGCTAGACTGGAGAGCGTCAAACCTGAGCCAGAGAGTGGAAGGAGGACCTCAAAGGAAGAGCAGAAATGGCACTCTGTTCTCAGAGTGTTGGGGTTGTTGGGGTGTGGGTGTTCACCCATTCTCATTGGTGGGCGAAAGATGAGGCTGTGGCCTAGTGGTAATCTCACAGGGCTCCAAGTTCAAAACCCTTGTTCGAATCTCACCATGGTAGATGGTGAACTTTGTATTCAATAAAATCTAGAATCAAAAGCAATCCGATAGCAACACTGTAAACCGATATTATAAATACCCATCCAGTTCATAATGCCCTTTAAGGAAGGAAATCTGCCATCCTTACCTGGTGTGCCCTACGTGTGACTCCAGATCCACAGCAGTGGCATTGACTCTATGATGGCTAAAACAAGGCACTCAGATGTAGAGCAATTACTCTGGATCTAACCCTGTGCTGACCCTGTCCTGGGAGTGTTTCATGGGGACAGTGTGGAGGGAGCTTTACTCTGGATTTAACCTCATGCTGTCCCTGTCCAGGGAGTGTTTCATAGGGACAGAGTAGAGGGAGCTTTACTCTGTATCTAACCTCATGCTGTCCCTGTCCTGGGAGTGTTTCATGGGGACAGTGTAGAGGAAGCTTTACTCTGTAACTAACCTCATGCTGTCCCTGTCCTGGGAGTGTTTCATAGGGACAGAGTAGAGGGAGCTTTACTCTGTATCTAATCTCATGCTGTTCCTGTCCTGGGAGTGTTTCATGGGGACAGTGTGGAGAGAGCTTTACTCTGTAACTAACCCCGTGCTGTGCCTGTCCTGGGAGTTTTTCATAGGGACAATGTAGAGGGAGCTTTGCTCTGTATCTAACCCCGTGCTGTGCCTGTCCTGGGAGTGTTTCATAGGGACAGTGTAGAGGGAGCTTTTCTCTGTATCTAACCCCGTGCTGTGCCTGTCCCAGATGTTGAACCTCAGTATTTTCACAGGTGCCTCTGGCTGAGATGCTGCAGACTCTTGTCACTGACCTTGTTAATTGCAGAAACAAAGGACGCCCCTCTCCAGGGGAATTAATGCTTAGATAATCAACCTGGGAAAATACCATAAAAATAGAACTTGTCAGTGATTTATGTTGTGTAAAAAGGCACTACAATTTGCATATGAAGTTAAACAGTCTGTGCTCTACAACTCTGCATATTTAGCTGCAAATAGATCATACTCTTAAAGGAAGGTTGCTTCCACTCTCTGTCTCACAGGCACTGAATCTAGTGAAGGGGCAATGTGTGGGGAAGAGAGTGGGGGTCAGTTTGGCCCTCCTACACCAGTATTGATGAGCGTGTTTAGGCAACGGTGTTTCAAATACTCCATTGGAGTAAAGATAACTCCATAACAATACTGAAGCAACTGTTCCATTCCCCTAATGCTGGGGGCTGCCATCACCTCTCAACAAATCTGAAGGTGAATGAGAGAGATTAAAACAGTCTTTTTTGTTTTAATTCTATCTTGGCCTCCAATCCTTGCATTTTAATCTTATTAAAGTAACATTTTCACGCCTGTTAGTCTGGAAATAATATCTCAAAAACTAATGGATAGATTTCAGCAAGGCTTGGCAAACAGATAGGGTATGACCCTAGAGAGAGCTGATTAGTTTTTGGCAAAGATGCAGTTCAGGATCCTGCATTATATTCAAGGAACTGGTAGCTTTGAGAGACAGGGTAAATTGGCTTATTTTTAGATTGTCATGGACTGTTCCGACTGCTGTGTTGGAATTTGTCAGAGCTGTCAAAATGTGAGTGGAGTTTTTAGAGCAGGTTGTTGGATATGGATTGGCCTGAGGCCACCTGAGCGAGATGGAAGTCCACAATAAGAATGTTTTTGTTTCAGTTTTATAGTTACAGATCAGCAGCTAGGCGGGGAATCTGATAACATTGAATGAACACACTGTGCAGGAGGTATATATTTGATTGCATGCCCTCTTCATTTGCGTAGTCACTAATTCTTCTGTTCTCAAAATTCAGTCACATTATACTT